CAAGCAGTCACTGCAGGGTCAGCAATGACTGAGCGCAGACCAAAAAAAAAAAAAAAAAATCATTGATCCCAGCTTGATGATCAACCTGGGTAGGGTATGATAGGGACAGTAGTCCAACACATTTAGATGGTACGAGATTGCAAATGGTTGATTTTGTTCATTAAACTGAGCAAGGCTTAAGCTTCAGTGGGGTCCCTGGGTGAACTATGGGGGGGGGGTCCAAATGCCTGAGTACAATAGACAGCAAATACATTCATTGGAAGCTAAACAGGTCTTTGTACATGAACAACACAAATAAATTTTCAAAATTCTGCCAGCAGTAGTTCTGGTGAGTTATTTTGCATCTCTCCTTTGAATCCTTATCATGGTGAGCATATAGCATGGTGGGGGACCCGGGGCTCCAGATGTTTCATACAGCTAGATGCTCCAGACAGCAGAGGTGTTGGGAGTTGTAAGCCAGGATAAAGCAGCACAGGAAGTCATGGCTGGGAGAGTCTTTGCACCCTTACATCTAGTGTACCAGTTGCCTCCTTTCCTCAATCAGGAGGTGTTGCACACCATCACTCATGCCCTTGTCGTCTAACAGTTGGGCTATTGCAATGTGCACTGTATAGGGCTGCTCTTGAAGCTCCAAAAGCTAAAATGGATGATGTCTGGGTAATAATGGGTGTATCTAAATTCACTCATGGAGCACCTCTACTCCGGGAGCTGCATTGGTTAATTGATGAGAAATGAGGCTACATTTACAGGCAAGAAAATTGAATCCTGGAACTGAGAATGGGGTGGAGAAGGAAGAGGTCCATGCTGGATCCAAAATCCAGGAAGGTGGAATGGTTTGAAGATGCCCCCTAGGAGAATAAGTCTTCTAATCTGGCCTAAAATGTGTACCTTGGAAACAACTGATGGAGAGCAGGAGGCTGGGCAGATGGACCTTGAAATGAGATTTCATTCAGGCTTTGGAAGAGATCATAGAGAATGAATCTTTGGGTGCTGTTGAGATGTCTCTTCATACATTTCAACATAGCTGGTTCACTAGTGGAGATGGTGCACGTTGCATGTGGAGAAACGGTGTGGGTATCATGTATTTTCTCCAGCTGAAGACCCGTTGAGTGGATTCTGTAGAGATCCGTAAGACTCTAGAAACCCTCTGTGATCGCATCTTTCATTTCAAGGTGCACATGCAAGTATTACAAAGCATGGTCAGTGCGCAGGAAATGTTGATGTATACTCAGTGGCCTTGCAGTGTCCTGGGCAGCAAAGCTTACTGAGAAAGTTAAGGCCAAATCACTGTCCCCAAGCCCAACAATATACATTGCCAGAGGTGTCTGCAAGAGGAAATGAAGAGATGTCCATGAAGATGCCATGACACAAATAACATTTACTTGCATCAAATGTCAGGATTTTGCACATTTGTTCTATTTGCACATGTCATTTTGATATCATTGCCATCTGCTCTGGATGCCACTGTCCACAGCCTGTGCTGCGTGTAGCTCTCTAGCACACATGAATGGAGAGATGCAGCGTGCAGAAGCATCATACAGAAGCAACATATACAGACATACCCTGATTAAGGCCGGGGGAGGAAGTATGAACATACATATGTCCAAATGGAACATGTTGTTACATAGAACACAGACCTATGTCCATAGCTGGTGAAGGAGTTGGGGAAAATCCAGATGTTATGTTTTGCATTCTTGTTTTACTAGGGTGGCCCTAACATTTTCCAAATGTTGATTTAGAAGTCCACGATGGCAGAAAGTTTGAGGAACACTGATTTAGAGACTAAAATGAGCCATAGAACACCCCCCACCCCCCACCCCGCCAACCTGCTGTTTGCTCAAATTCTGCCAATTTCACAAAAGGGTTTCCTGGCTTCTTTTTTTTTTTTAGCTGCAATTTGAGTATTATGTTAAACAGGTATACTTACTTTTTAATTAGAGGAAGTCACTTTCTTTGATATATATAAACATTTTGGTTGATTAATGGCTGGGAACCAATTTTTCTGGCCACTTTTAAGTCAGCAGCACTGTGATTATTAGCTACTATAACCTAGAGTTTCTAAGCAATCTTGGGGCATTCAAAGCAGCTCCAATTGTCTTGGCAGCTGAATAAGGAAATAGCTTACTACTGTATTATCTCCACACTTCAGGTCCCTGAGACAGACAAGGCTACTTCACACAAGGGGCTGAACTTCACGCTGGCAGGATCTGCTTGATTTTGGTTTCATACTTTCCAACCCAATGCCATTTTGGAATTAAAGTGTACCTGCCTCTCTCAGGCTAACTCCAAAAACTGAACATAATAGGACCATATTCGATGTAGGGCAAGAAGCCAGTAAATGAATCATATTAAAAAATGGGCCAGATCCAGCTGAGGGTACAGAGAAGAAAAACCCAGAAAAGTTTTTCCCAGTGCATCCATTCTTAAGCACCACCACCCCCCGCCACCTTGGTCACATAACCCAGAGCGGAGCTCCTATTAAGGGGTTGGAAAGGCAGAACCCTAGAGATCCACCAAACTGAAGCCTGAAGTAAGAAATCAAAATGGAAGCTTTAAAGAATGCTGAGTCCAGGAGTTTGGTTCTGCACCAAATGCCCAGTGCTGCAGCTCAACAACGCACCCCCAAGCTATGACAGGCTTCTTCAGCTTCAGAAATAGAAATTCAGGGTGAGGAAGGGTCATGTTCAAAAGTTGGTGTCAGAAATTCTTGCTGATCTGCTAGAAGCCTCCCAAAGATGCTCAGCCTGGATCAACCAAGGCCATGTTAGAAGCTGAGGTTTAACACAATGATTTAGACCCAAAGTAATAAAGGAGACACCATTCATGCAGTTGTGATTCTGCCTCTGGTTTTTCTAAAGTAAAGGGGGTGTCTGTGTATGCATGTAGGCTGATCTAATTGTGGAGCTTGGTAGAACGCAATGGGCTTTAACTTTCTGTTTCCTGTTGCCCTCTTGATCCAGATCTGCTCCCCACCCACCTGTGGAAGAGCAGGCTGCTCAGAAAAAGTAGGCCCCTGGGCTGCCTTCTTCCCCTCCCACTGGACCCTTCTCCCCAGCGTCAGCACGGCAGAACCGCCATTTTGTTGTTGTTGTTTAGTCGTTAAGTCGTGTCCGACTCTTCGTGACCCCATGAACATATTGCGCCAGGCCTT